CACAGCCCGCCGCCGCCTTTCGGGACTCTCCGCCCCGCCGTCAATTGTCAGTGCTCCCCAACCGCAATCAATCAGTTATTTGTCAGCCCCTGTCAATCCGCCCTTGATTTATGTCAGCTTTTGTTGCTGATTACAAGCCTGGTGTGACTTGAAGGGGGAAGGAGAGAGAGAGGGAGAGGGAGGAATAAGGAAAGAAAACAGAGGGAGAGACGGGCTCCTCGGGAGAAAAAGCCTTTTAATTTACGGAATAAATCCTTGGAGTAAACTGGATTGTTTGCCAGCAACCCGTAGCCCTCCCCAGCTCCTCACTGCCCTGTCGGGGAGGGCAGCTGGACTTCTCTTCCCCTTCCCTCTTCGTCCTGTTCGAAAGTGTCCTTCGTCCCTGCACCCGCCGGGCTGAACCGGTCCCCGGCAGCAGGGGCCTGGGGAGGCGGCCCCTCGCCCCGACGAGAGTACTGAGAGTACCGGTTCGCCATTTATGTGCTGGATTTTAAGCTAGGCTGTGTTGAGAGCCTTCTGGGTACGCTCACGGTGTCCACCCGGGCGTTACATTCGTCTTGCTTTGTGTCTGTGCGCTCCCGAGGGGTACCGAGTCCTCTGCCCTCAGCCCCGTTTTTACCGGTGCCGGCGGATGCCCCGAGCGGAATCCGCAGCCCTTCAAGTCGCTGGGTTGCCTTTTTCTTTTCTCTTTGTACTTTGCTTCCCACTATCCCCCCACCTCCTCATCCCATAACATTTTTTCACAGGCAAAATGTGTTAATCAATCTTTTACTTTTGTTTCCGGATCTGACATGGTGGCCCACACAATCTACAACATTAACAAAAAGGTCACTTAGAGATAAAGCACGTTTGACAAGTGAAGAACAAGGCAAGTGCTTTAGGGGTCGCGTCCAATTCCTGACCTGGACTCCAACCAGAACAGGCGCTGATCCTGGAAGGGTTGGACGAGAGGAAGGACTTTCACTTTCTCACGTTTAGATTTGCTGAACCCAGTCCTTTTTCTTCGCTTGAAACACCGATCTGCCCTAGTCCCTAAGCAGATGTGTCAGATAGTCTTTAATGACCCGCTCTTCTGACGAGGTGTATGTAAGGCAGGTTTTGCTCGGTATCCCCCCCTTCCCCCGCCAAGAGGTACCCCTTAAATCTTGCAGCGCAGTGAGTATATCTGCTGTATTTTATTTAAGCCACTTTACTCTTTTACTACAGTGTATAGAGTAGAATAAATACACGGAACTCCTCTAGCTTTAATAAAGATGCGATTAATTTTAACAAACTTTTAAATTTCTGTCTTTTCTCTGAAAGATAAGGTTTATTGGCACAACTTCTCAGTGGAGAATCATAAACGTACTTTCACTTTGCAATCACCGCGGTCATCTTGCAGGACCATCAAAATTAAAAGGCAGGGGAGAGGAGGTAGAGAAAGAAATCCTGCATAAAACCCGCGATATTGCAATAGGACTGACAAGACCCACAACTTGCCCTCAAGGAACTCCCCCACCCCCCCCCGGCCCCCCTCCTTTATCTAGAGTGGAAGTGACTTGAATCTGCCCCAGGTTTTCCCCCAGTTCTTTCTTTTGTTGTCAAGTCCAATTGATAAATGGAGTGCAGTAAAACTCTGGAAAAAAAAAAAAAAAAGCTGAAACCTTCATTTGTGTTCATTTGCATTAAAGTGCTTGGAACAGCTGTTTTCCTTACAGGACCGGGGAGACTCCTATCTGTTTTCTCGTTGTATTTATCCTGCCTCCCAGGGTGAAAGACTAAAGATTAATTGTCTTAAGGTAGAGTCAGCTGTGGGAAGGCTCTCCCTCCCCATTTTTCCTTCCCTCTCTCTTTTCTTGTGGAGGTGAGGGTGATTTCGGGAAGGGTTGTTTTACTTGTAAGCCAAGGAAGCAGAGGCGATAGTCGGTACTTGTATAAAACAGGCAGCGCACCGACGGGGAAAGCGGGGGACGGAGCGGGGGGAACAGCACGAACCTCGATCTTTCTGGCTGAAGTAGAAGCATCAGAGGGTAATTTAATTAGCAACTTCAGAGGACAGCTTTTTCATTTGCTTCTCTTTTTCATTTTTTTTCCTCTCCCCTCAGCCTTTGAAATGAGATTTAAATCTCACTCGGTACTGTAAACTTTTTAATGTAGAACCTTGTAAAAAAATCAGCCCCAAGACATCTCCTCCCCTTTGCGCCCTCCAAAGCATTTTTGAGCTATGAGAGCTTATTCACTGCGCTTAACACACGCAGAAAACGATTCCCAGCGAGGGGCTCGGAGTTAGGATGCACACGCGTAGGATCGGGCGGGCGGCGGGGCTGCAGCTTGAAAGCGGTGCGGAGTTTGTGATTTGCCTGCTGCGGGCTCCTTTCCTCTCCTGAGCCGAAGAAGAGCGATTCTGTCCTGCTCGTTACCTTCGCGAGGGATTCTTGTTTAATGAGTCCGTGCAGACGGTTTGCTGTTTGGTATTTACTTGTGTAGTCTTGTTGAAGTTTTGGTGGCTGTTGCTTTTATTCCTTTGAAAAAAAAATCCAAGGGTTGGAACCCGTCTTCCTCTTTTTACAAAGGAAAATTGTAACTTAAAAAAGAAAAAAAAAAAGGAGAGCAAAGGAGGAATTAATTAACAAGTGCCAGTCCACACTTTCCTTTACCTACCAGCTATTGGCAAGCATGTCAAGTCGATTTTATTTGCACACAATGGAAATGATTTATTTTCTCTTAAAAAGGAGTGGGCTGGCAGATATTTGAGGAGGAGAGGAGAGCGAGAGCGAGAGAGGAAAAAAAGTTTGAAAATGCCTTGAACTATTCACTGTCGAGATGGCTAATCAGTATTGAGGCTCGAGGGCACTCGGGCAGCTTTTCAATGCGGTTTTCCTTTCATCTCAAGCTGGATGGAGGCGCTCAATTAAAAGCCTATCAGTTTGTAAGTAAATCAACGCCTATCAAAGTTGTCACATCAAACAAAACGATTATTATTGCAGCCCGCCTCCCCTATTAATCTCCCTCTAAAATAATCCGCTTGACAGGTCAGGCTGGCGAGCTGCAAACCCTGGTCAGGATCACCCAAAAAACCCGGACTGACTATTTTTCCCTCGGGAGAGCGAACTGCAGAAACCTCGACACCAGCGTGCCTGCTCTGAGAGCTTGCTCTCTTGCCATTTAAGTGTCAGCTTCTGTAGATCATGTTGGAAAAGGGCGTTTAGTCTTTTAAACGGAACAGCAGCAACCCTACAGGCCCTTTAGTTTAGCTTTTTTGTTTGTTTGTTTTTTCCTTCTCCCCCCCTTTATTTTCTATCTTTTCGAACAAGACTAAGATGTTAATTAGCAGAAGCAGAGTTGCTGAGTTGTGTCTGGGTTGTGTTTCTGTGTGTAACACAATTCAGTTACATGTCTGTCCATCCGGTGCGTCAAATTTATTTCCTTTGATAGTACTTACATTTCACTATCTGCCCCAAGGTTTTTATTAAGATATACATTGCAATACATTTTTGTAGATGGTGCATCTTCTTTCTTTTTATTTTTATTTCTCACACGAATGATAGTACTTCATATAAGAAGATAAGAAATGTGATGGGTGATCAGAAATACACCACCACAATTTGGTACATTTGGAGAGAGGCTTTTTTCCCTTTTTATTTTTATTTTTTTTTTAATGCGAGACTGCATGTGCTCAGCTAATAACTGATGTGTCTGCCCAGGTATCCAGCAGAGGTGAGGGGTATTTATTCCAGAATATTGTTAAAGTGAATAGTTGGAAAGCTTGCCAACATGAAGTAAGATTTCCAAACCTCTCCCCTGTTCGCATAGTACCTGAAAATATTTACCCTTATGATTGTAATTACTTTCCTAACACATAGAAGCAATATATATTTTACTCTGCATGAGATGTAGGTAATCGTTTTATAAGCGGTGATAATTTCAGAGCCATCTTCAAAATAATAGTCACGTTTAAGCTAACGTGAATTTTAGAAGTCAGTGGCATTTTTACTAAACGAGCAGAAAA